ACCCACACCCACACCCACACCCACACCCACACCACACCCACACCCACACCCACACCCACACCCACACCCCCACCCACACCCCACACCCACCCCCCTCATGCGGTGTTATAAACAGAAAAGAGAAAATGATAGGTCAGCAGAGAATGAAAAGATCAAGGAGTACATTTATTGCAAGACGAATGCCCACGCAAATGAATATATAGTGTTACTTTCTAGTAAAAATTGAATTGCATCGAATGTCTCAATTAGTATAAGTTCTTAATCTCCTGCCTTCTTGATATTCAAATTTTTGAATTAATAAATAAAAATGGATGAACTTGTCGAATAGCTTGAACATCAATTCTATCTGATATAAATATATCACAATCGAAACGACGTAAACATGGCACATGTTTAGGAAGAATATCAACCAATTGAGTAAAATCAAATGGTATAATCGAGAGATCACCTGATAGAATACGCCATGAGATAAGATTGGGTAAATATATGACGACGAAAGTAACGTATCAATTGTATGAGTAGTCCATGCTGGTTTCTCTATTTCGATTGATAAATGTTTGAGATAATAATGAACAAACGAAGATAAATAAGGAGTATTAGCAAAGTCAGAAATATAGAGTGAAAGACGTTTTAAATTGGAATAAGATGTAAGAATAGACGTTATTAAAGATTCACCATAGCAAACATTAATTGAATGTAGTGATGGCATTATTCTCCATGAAAATATAGGTGGTGAATTAATATTACTTAAGATACATTGGTGAAGAAATGGAAATTTATTTGAATATATATGTTCATCTAACAATGATAGATCATCCGAGCTTACGTTCAGAAAAGTTAAATCAATATGACAAAATGTTGATTCGAGAAGATGTCGAATTTGAATATCAATTGCATAAACACAAATTAATGAATGTACATTAGGAAATTATTTTAAATCAACCTCGTATTCATCACTTATATCCAATGCAACAGTAATAGAGGCAAAAAACTATGTTCCTTTCAATATTTTCTTGTTCAATAGTCGACCAAAGGCGATGGCTACAATTGTTGAGTAATTGAAGAATATTATAAATTCGTTTATTTAATCCTTTGATTGGTTGATAAAGATCATACAGAGATAAATAATCAAATATTTCAACAAAAACTTCATTTCGAAAAGATTCAAGTTATATACAGTCGCTTATCTCATGATTTTTGTTATCACATAATAAAATACATCATCTATATTACCGACAATGGTGATATGAGTCAGCACTATTTGGTTAGTTTTTTCTTTCTTTCTTTTCATTTTTTGTCTCATTTATGACACGTAGACAACAGAAAGAAGAAAAAAAAACATGGTTGTCAGAGACATTGTTTTTTGTATTTAAGCTGTTGTACCACACTTTTCGCTGCTGAATGATGAATCAGGATTAAAACTGAGTCATTTATTTATTGCAACGTTAATAAATTTAAATCATGTATCGAATTTAGAATTTGACTTTTTTTTTATACATTCAATATGAAATGTTCTTTTATATTTTCTTTCAAGATTTATATATTTATTGTCAAGGTAATATGAGTGATTATACTACTATACACTTCAGTCTTCTTGAGCATTTACCTGATGAATTATTACTCGATTTGTTCGAACAATATATATCAGTTGTTGATTTGTATCGTGGCTTTTTGAATTTAAATCAACGTATCAATGGTCTTTTGAAATCTCTCGATAAAATCAAATATAGCCTATCATCGAACTCATGGGAAATTGCTACTCCTTACATTTCTTCTCGCATCGTTCGTTTGGTTATCTCACACCCATTTCCATTTTCTCTCAATCCATTTATTAATTTACGTTCACTCACACTCAAAAAAGCAAATAATGATCAATTTCAGAAAATCTGTTCCGGTTTTATTTCACCTTATTTAACCTATCTTCGATTGATATTACTATTCAATCATGAAGTTTTAAATCACAGCAACACTTTCATTAATCTTTTTTCTAATCGATTCAAATTTCTTCGAAAATTGTGTATCTTAGGCAAAATGAATATACCTCCTACGACATTATCAGCATGTTCGAGTACACCTTCACTTCGTTCGATTAGTATTAATATTTCTAAAAATTTATATTTATACTCAACGATACTTTCTACTTGTCCAAATCTGGTTCGTCTTGAATTGCGTGTCTCATTTATAAATATCTCTCTTGATTTTTATCAACATTCAAATCTTAAATATTTACGTCTTCAACTCATGGATAGTAATTGGTCATTTCATACCTTTAAACATTTTCTTTCATGCGTACCCACTGTGGAACGACTTGTCATACAACGATTTAGACCAAATACTGATGACAATGGTCTTCGTTTAGATCATATACGTTTTGCACAAATTCTTACTCAATATTTACCTCTTCTTCATCAATTTGATTGTGATATTTTATTTGATAGCAGCAAGTTTGCAATCAATATTAGTCATATTCATCAACTTCATTCATATTTTACTCGTATTCAAATTGAACATCAACAAAATGGAATTGTTCGCCTTTTTACCACCATTTGATTGAATTCAATAATGATAGTTTTCGAGAAACGATTGGTAAAAGAAAAAGATATTTAATGCATTCATTGAATAGAATGACTTTTCAAATTGCTTAATGATATCCCGTTCGAATAATCAGACAATAGGATCTTACGTGACATGAGTGTGTGTGTGTGTGGGGTGGGGGGGGGGGGGGCGAGTTCACTCTTTGTGGGCCTCCAGCCCGGCTGTTAAGTGGAACGTGACCAAAAATTCTGATCTTGTGGGGAGGCACTGTGTCTT